CTGGATCTCGCTCTCTAGATCAGGCTGGCCTCGAACTCACAAAGATCCGCCTGCCTCTGCCTCCCAAGTGCTGGGATTAAAGGCGTGTGCCACCACAGCCCGGCTCTCCCATGTATTTTAAATCCAAATTACTTATGATACTGACTGCACTGTAGGTGTTATGTAAATGATGTTAACATTGCATTGTTTGGGAGAATAATGACAAAAGGAAGTTTCTATATGTTCAGTAGAGGTATTTTTTTCCTGAAACATTTTTAAAATATCTGTAGTTGGATGATATGGAGGGCTATCTGTAGTAGCTTTATTTTATAGATGAGAAAATAAGCACGGAATACATAAGTTGCTTGCCAGCATTACCCCAGATATTAAGTAGCCTGAATTTGAACTTAGATCTGCCTGATCATAAGGCTTATGTTCTATTTCTACTGAATACCATCCTTCTTCTTCTATATTGTCCCCACAGAAGCAGATCTTGCTTAGTAACACTAGCTGGTCATGTGTGGGCAGGGCATTCATGATTTGTTTACTATTAGTTATTTGCAGTCAGGGAGTAGGGAGAGGAATGTAAGTCAGACAAGTAGGGTGAGGAGAGGCACGTGTGTATTGGGTTGAGTATGGAGGGGAAAAAAGGAGTTATCATGAGCTCCAGTGTGATCTAGTATTCAATTTGATGTGTCTATTCTTGGCCGTGGTTCTGGATGGTCTCTGGAACAACATGGACAAGCAGTGTCCAATCCAGTGATGGCATTCAGGGTCTGAATACGTTCAACATTACTTTACACCTACACATGCATATACACATACACACATGCCATAAATATGAAGACAAATTCTTTTAAAAAATAGCATGCTAGAACATATACCACTAAATCTTGAGCTGTCTTATAAAATGGAAGGCTACCCCTTGATTCTAGTAGTGTTTCTCCTGCTTGTTCGATGACTGCAACTCCCCTTCAAAAGAGCCAACACTGATTTGGATGCATAAAGTAGAGAAGTTTGTTGAAAACAGCAAAGGGAAGAAAAGAAAAAGAAAAGGAAAGGAAAACCCATCTTAGTTTATACTTTTTACTAAAACCTTCAGGATTATGTAAAATGATGTAATTGTGTAGAAAGAAGTGCTATTTATTTATCCATATAAATTTTCCTTATTTTTCTTTCAGTGAGCAATACTAGTAACAAGTTGTAATAAAACAAGCCTGACTTACAAAACCATTTAATCCCAGAGGGAATGTGACCCAGATCAGGGAGGGGCAGAGCTCAGGAATGAGTTGCTAAGTTATGTTCATTCCAGAACTTCCTAGGCTTCACCTGCATCTGAGTGATGACCAAAGCATGTTTTTCTTTGGTCACTTCATTCTGATGGCTCTACACTCACAAGAATGGCAGCTAGGCTGAGCATGCAATTCCTAAGAGCATCTCATATGCACAGGCTTGGGAATTCAGAGAGTTGACAGGGCCAAGAGAAGTTCCTGTCCCTTCCATGCCAAGTGTGTAATAATACCAGTACCCTCCAGGAATTGGAGGCAATCATGCTGATCACACGCTTCCTAAGGAATAAACCAATGATTATAGTCAGCCTGAGTACTCAGGAACAACAGGAGGTTTATAAAGACATACTTTCAACTACAAATTAATTATAACACAACTCTCTTGTAAGACAATTGGGTCATGCTTTTTAAATCCTTTAATTTTTTTGATTGGAAGGCATTATAAATGTGTCAAGAATAATTATTGTTATAAAGATTTTTGTTTTCTATTATATGGGACCAAAATACTATAAAGGAAGAATAATTCTTGACCATGTATGTAGTCCTACATTAAAACTATCACAAAGCTGCCTTTGGGAGAGCATTGGCAGTCCCTTCTCTACTAATTCAACTACTGTGACCCTAGGGAAACTTTGGTCAAGCTCTGGAAAACCTGGGCTGGTAACATAGATAGTGTAGTAGGCAAGGACAGACCACTTTAAATCATCTCTCATATTATTTGGAAGGCAAGAACCAGCCATACCGGTGGAAACAGACCTGGTGCCTTTTAACATCCACCCTATAATACAATGCTGTGATTCTTAGCTGTTTTCCTCACTCCAGTTTCAAATTTCTAAATGATGTTATGACAATTGATAGCTGAGGCAGTAACTGCAGAGGGGGCATAGAAGGAAAGAACCAATCTGGGTGATGTATGAAAATTGTGCCTTGGATGCCCCTCCCTTAATTATCATAATATCTTCAGTTCTTTTGTTTGATTCTTTTGAAACGGGATCTTACTATGTAGCCCTGTCTGGCCTGGAACTCATAATGTAGACCAGGCTGGCCTCATATCTATAGAAACCTACTTATTTCTGCCTCACCACACCCAACAAGATCTCAAGTTCTAATGGAAATTAACCACCTTTTGGCAATCTTTACCTCATTATCTACCTGGAAGTATTTACATTGTCTCAGTGGAGTTATCCCAACTCCCTTAATGTCAATTACTTATTTTCAATATCACAAAACGATGCTCTCAGAGACGGTTATTCATTTTCATCTTTTTTTTTTCCTTCTGAAAGCCTTCGAGATTGCGTCGGAGTCCCTGGCTCCTGAATGGGACTTGGGAAGCAGAGAACTTAACATAAAGATGCCCATTAACAGACCTTGGTCGATTTTAAGGCAAACAGTACTGGAGAGGCCGGGGCAGACCTAATTCAGAGTGAGCGTCCGGATCTGTGAGCTAGTGTTGCTTCAGCACCTCGCCCTGTGTTTGTGGGGAGGCTGCTCTTGGCTCCTCCCCTGCCCAGTCCACACTACCTTTCGCCTCCGCTTTTGCGTAACTATATTAATAGAAGGGAACACTTCACATACTGGCGCTCGGGCCCCAGAGAGAGGCTGGCTGTGGCTTGGCAGGTGGGCTTGTAGCAGGAGATGGGTGGGGGAGTGGGCGGGGTCACTCTGGAGTGGCGTTCGAAGTAGCCAATGGCAGTACGTGGCAGGGGCGGGATGGAGGCACTGTGACCGGTTAGCCAATGGAGGATGAGCAACTACTGGAGCGACCTGGTGACGTGAGGAGCGTTCCATTCCGCCAGCGGTGGGCGGTTGCCACAGCTGGTTTAGGGCCCCGACCATTGGGGCCCCTCGTCAGGAGGAGGCACCCTCCCTGTCAGGGAGAAGTCGCTCCCACCTTTGGCGGCCGACGCGATCCCCGGGGACAGTGCACTTTCTGCCCTCCGGTGCCAGCCGAGTTCGGTCTCCCTCATTCAGGTAAGAGGGGTGGGGGTGGGGGGGGATGTCTCCGGGGCTCCGCTGTCTGCAGGGCTGCATGCCCCCCTTCAGCTCCGCGGGGACCCGGGGACCTTGGCACCGCCCTGCTCAGCTCGCCAGCCGCCAAGCCCCTGGCCCGGGGTGACTACACGTGGCGGGGCGTGTGTGAGTGTGTACGAGCTTGTGGACGCGTGTGCGTGTGGATGTGGCGCGCGTCCCAGTCAGCCTGGGGCGGTGGTCGGCTGCGTGGCGGAGGCAGGGCGGGCCTCCTGAGGCCGAGCCGCTGCACAGCCCTGGCTTCTGGCGCTCGGCTGCTGAACCCGGGCGGTCGGTCGGTCGGTCGCTGCTTTCCGAAGGATTTTCCTTTTTCTGCTCCCAGGTTGGGCTCCCCTTTCCTAGTCTGTGTTCTCCTGCTGGGTCAGTTTATGAGGAGGAGATTGTGTGCCAGGTTAGTTTTACACAAAGGAAGTGATCTTTGCACCTCTGGGGCCCCCTCCCCTTTCCCAAGCCTGACACCTTTCCATCTCGCAGCTCAGCTCTTAGTCCTCTTTTGGACCTTTGCCCTCTCTAGCTCGAGAATGATCTCTGGCTGGTTGTTTCTTGCTCATCAGGCTGCAGGCGTCCGCCTCATTCTTGCCAGCATGGGGCATGTGGTGCCAGTAAATAGAGGACACAGCCCCACACCTGAGAGGAAGAGAAGGATGACAGTGACTGGGAAAGGCTAGGTAGGCCTGGAAATCCAGGATGCTGACTAGAAATGGTATTGGTGACATGTCCCGGGAAGCCCTCAAGGGACTTACCTTAGCTGCTGCCACCGCCCTCAGCCACCCCTCACCCCATCATCAGTTGCCAACCATTCCAGAATCTCTCCTGTTAAAGGAAGCCTTTTATCTACAGGGTGATGTGGTTTATTAAGAGTCCCACAAATGCTCAGCTAGACCAGCAAGACTGTTTCATTTTCGGACTCAGGAAGTTACAGAAGGCTTGATTCGGGGAAATCTGTTTTGTGTAAATATGATGTGTGTATGTGTACAGAATGCTCAGGACATCCGACCCCAGCCAGAGGGTTACTTTTTCCCTCCTGTAATTAATACTTTGAAAGGTTGATTGAAAGAAGATGAAGGAGTCGAAGAGAGAGGGGAAGGGCTGCCTAGGGACAAACAACAACAAGAAAACAAAAACCTGCTAGGATTCTTCTTCTAGGTCTCTTAATGAGGACTAAGGAATATTGTGGTGGAGTGGAATGTGCCAGGGACTGGAAGTCAGCGGGCATGCTTTCTTGTGTCAGCTTTGTTGCTGGGTGACCCTGGGTATGTTATCGCATCTCACTGGTCCTCAGTTTACTTATTGGTAAAGTATAGTAATGAGGGTGGCCACTTGCGGGATTCCTACTTACTTCCAAGACTCACGATTAACCAAATCATCAGCACTAGTTTGGAAATGGGATTTATTATTTAAGAAATACTAGTTCCCTCCCCTTTTTGGAGAACTGTTTTTTCTTTCTTTTGTTTTCCTCTTTAGAGAGCAAACACAGATTAGACATTTTAAACTTCCCCCTTCCCACCCCTCCAGGCAGTGTTACTCTTTCTGTCTTTGGGAAATGAGGTTTCAGTTGCATTTTGTTATTCTTGTCTCACGGTTCCTCCCCTTTCCTTTTTTTTTTTTTTTAGGACTCTTGATCATGTTTGACCCAGTGGCAGCAATAGCACCCGATGTGATTTCAAAGCCGGGCTCTGTCTCTGCTCTTGTGTAGTCGCCCGTTTTTGGACCAGGACCTCCAATCATGTCTGTGATGGTGGTAAGAAAGAAGGTGACACGGAAGTGGGAGAAACTCCCCGGCAGGAACACCTTCTGCTGTGATGGCCGCGTCATGATGGCCCGGCAGAAGGGCATCTTCTACTTGACCCTCTTCCTCATCCTGGGGACATGCACGCTCTTCTTCGCCTTCGAGTGAGTTTTCTTTGAATACAGTCGTCTGGTGATGGGTAATTTGGGCCCCAGGAATGAAATTGTCTTTCCTGGCCATTTGTGGTGGTTCTTGCCTGCCTTTATTCTTTTGTTGAACAGTGTCTATAGGCTGTGTCTATTGAATTCACTGCTTTTGGTTATAGTAGGCTGTATATTCCGTAAAAAGACCAAGAACTTTAGCATCAACTTCGTGGCACTGGTGGGGAGAACCCCTGACAAATAAGGGAGTTTGTCTTAATTATTCACCTCCTTTCATTGATTGTAACTTAGTGACAAATTGCTTCTTCTCTACCCCTCCCAAGTCTGGGAGTAACCCTCATTATTACAACACCACTCAACAATATCCACTTAATCTGCTACTTTGGGTCCGATTTCTGTAAGCCCTAGTTCTTACCTACCTGTTAAGTTGAAAAACAAACTGAATGGGAACCTGAAGATTGGTCCCAGTATCATCTGTACCGCAAAGGAACTGTGGGGATGCCATATAGGTGCTCTTGAAGTGTGAGCTGTTCTTTCTTTCCCTCAAATATCATTCAGTATAAAAAAATATAAACCTGTGTGATGTGACACCTAGTACTAGAGACACTGTTTGAAGTCTGTGTAGGTCACTGCTGCAGGGATGTGGCCAGTTGGAGTCTATCTAGTGCACCGTGGCATGACTACTGGGTATGCTGAGAATGATTCTACACTCTAGGGATGGGAGCCGTGCTAATTGTTTTGGGATTACTGTATTAAGGAGGACCTTGAGGAAACAAGAGGTGTACATACTGAGGCCACACCTGCTGTGAGCCTGCCATGGCTTGTGTTCATGGGTGACCTGGAAATAAAAGTTCCCATGCTGGGGTGTGGCTGGGAGATGCCAAGGGGGCTCCTTGGCCAAACTGAGTAGGTAATTAAAATGAGCTCCAGTCCATTGAGACTCACTGTTGTCTTTCTGTAAGGGTTACAGGCTTTCTCTGTGCCGCTCAGAGTGATTTGGGGGTGACTTTGCTAGACTTTTGATGTTTGCAGCTGGCTTGAGTAACAGCAGTGGGAAGAGTGTTCTAATGTTCTGTAACAGCGCTGGTAAAATAAGATCAAATGAAGTCTTCGTTAAAGGTCCTTTTGTTGTTACTGCCGCTGACTTTGTGGAGGCTTTCCATGAAGTTAGGTAGGCTGTTGAAGGCTTGTTACCTGTTTTACATTCTGAGTTTTACAGCTCAGTGTGTGTGTGTGTGTGTGTGTGTGTGTGTGTGTGTGTGTGTGTGTGTGTGTGTGTACATGCACCATGTGCTTATGTGTGCTACAAGTGAGCATGTGCAGCCAGGCAGAAAACAGAAAACAGTTTGTTTTTTTCCTTCAGCTCACTCTTCTTTCTCCATTTTCCTTGCTTCACTCCTCTTTTTCTTCTGGATGGAAGTACAACGTTGTATTCTGCTGTCATTCTCTTTCTCTCTTGCCCTTTTGGTCCCCTCATCTCTGCACTTAGATCTTTATGATTGGAATTTTTCACGACAGAGTTGAGACTTGTTTCCAGGCTCTGAGTGAGGTGGTAGTTCTGGGTCCAGGAAACCTCCGGTTTGGTCAGAGAAACATGGGCTTTCTCTTTTTTCTACCTGGAAGGCTTAAAGAGACTGTGACTTGGATCTGTTCCACTTAGGCCCCTGAAGGCCTCTGAAAAAAACTGCCCATGGGATGAAGCTTCTAATTAGCTAAATTACTGTTCAACAGAAGCTTATAAGTTTTCTGCCAAGATGACTCCCATTTCAAAATTATTTCTTGGAGTTTTTCTGTAGATACAAAGTTTTGTAAAACTGCCCCGAGTTCCAGCTGTCTGTTTGAAAGAGTAAATATTTCAAAAGTAAAGGCTGGGGGAGGGAGGGAAGAAGGAAGTAAATGAGTTAGCTTAGTAGTGGAATGGGGAAGTGTAAATCTGAACAAAGAAAAGAGGACTCCTGTGATGAATGCTTTTAGGTGATGAATGCTCTTAATAAGAAAGGTAGTGTGTGTGGTGGGGGGCACATGCAGGCACATGGATAATCAAATGGTGGCTACTTTGTATCTATCTAATGGTAGGCTGTACAAGGCACAACAACCTAACAATGCGGAATTGAGTCTTTTTTTCTGGTTGACTAGTCTATAATTTACTCTCAACAAAATAGTGGAGGCTAGTAGGGTTTGGAGGACAGAGTTGGGGCTCTAATGTTAGTATTAAGATGCAATGAGACCTAAGGAAACCAGATGATCCAGTCCCTAATTTCAGGTGGGTGATGATGACATTTGACATTACACTTGATTTTAGCCAAAAGACCAAGATGTGATAGGAGAGCATATTTGAATTCACAGATTGCTGTCTGTTTTCATTCTTAAATTATCTGTGAGTCTAGACTCCATATCCTCTAGCTGTTTCATTTTTACCACCCAGGAAGGTAGTTCAAATCTTGATGCACATCTGGATGTGCTTTTTATCAACCAGGTCCTGTTGGCAGCAGGTGCTTAGGAACAAGTGTGAGCAGATTCATGGCTGTATTTGGCATAGCTGTGGACCAGCCAGATGGCTTGAGCAGTCTGGTCAGTCATGTGGGTGCCCCTTCATGAAAAAAAAAATGTGCAGTGTTGGTCCTAGTGCCAGCCTTGCACTTTGAAATTTTGCTTTTACAAATCTCGGGTGTTCCAAGGAGAGAGCTGTAATTTTAAGTGGACAGGTTGTATGTTGAATACATAAAACAACCTAAAAGATCACTCACCTGGGAGGAGTTAGCCCCAAACTGTTAGAAGTGTTTCTGAAGAAGTTAGGTGATCATCCCTCAAGGTTGCTGTCACAGATTGGAAATTCAGTACAAAGTGGTTAAACCTCTGGGAGCTGTCTGAAATTCTGCCTAACTGTATCTGTCTGAAAGGACACGAAGGTGCAAAAGGGGAGTGTAGATTACCAATAGGTCGTTGTATTTGTGGTAAGTATACATACATTTCAAAGTGAAGTGAAAAGTGTAAAATGCATAAAGACAAAGGATTTCCTGATTAATTCTAGGGGTGAAGTATTTAGGAAATGTGCATGTGGATGCCAGTTTTAGCTTTCAGCACAAGGAACGATGTTTAAGCCCTTTTGCTCAAACCCTATCTAGCTTATGCCAGAACATTATAGCAGAATGACATTGACAACCTGTGAGCTGTCCAACTACTGAAAAGATTTTGTGATATTTGGTTTGACTCAACTTCCTGATGAAGTATAGAGCTGGGAAAAGGATCAAACGCATTGTCTTTGGAACGAACTTATAAGTGTTCTCTTTTAACTGTGTGACCGGATTTCTAGTGGGATCAAAGTCCCCAGACTTTGTATGTGGCATGAAGGACTGTATGACTCTTGAGCCCTACATAGACGTGCCTTGCTGCTACGATTGGTGTTGATGGCCTCTGCGTGCTGTATGTGGAGGAAATTGAATACAGGTGCTTTCAGACCCGTGTTTGTCAAACTGGTCCCCATGGGTTCTTTGGATGTGCATATTAGAAGAGAAGTCACTGAATTGGATAAACTAGAGAACAGATTTATATTATTGCTTAGTAATTATCTCAGTTCTCCTAGCACACCCAAATTTTCCTCCTCTTTCAAGTTCCTTTAACTGTACATTCGCTCATTGTACCAAATAATGTGACATGTCTTACATTTCTGAGTTCTTACTTTGATGGGTTCTCATGTATCTCAGGACAGCCTTGAATTTCCGGTGTAGCTAATGATGACTTTGAGTTCCTGATCCTCCTGCTTCCACCCCCTGAGTATTGGGATTATGGATCTGTGCCACCACATCCAACCTGGCTGTTTTTCTGTTTCTATTATGCATACACTCTTCGTTTGTCCTGTATAGCTTCAAGCTCTTTCAGGCTCAGGTGTTATCTCCTGTGTCTGTAGCCCCTTGTGGTGATCTGCACTGGAGTAGGTGGTCAATAAATGTTGCCGGGAGAATACATTCTGGATGCATTTAAAATTGCAGTCTTGACTCACAGCATGGTAGAGTTATAAAGGGCTCTGGAGACTCTCTCCATCCTTTTTGTGGTTTAGGAAATCAGGCCTACAGAAGTGAGCTAATTCAAGATCTGTTGCATGCTTATCTTTTGGCTATGCAGTTCTGAAGACATTCAAATTATTAAAGTTGTGTATGATGCCAAATGCCAGAATCTCCCAAGCTCATGCTCCTAGGAAACCAAGGAGTATTTTATAGAAAACTGACAGCATTCTGGCATGGCATTCTTGCAGGAGCACAGTGTCTTTAAGTGAGCACTTAAATGTAAGATGCTTTGTGAGTTCATGAAGGATCGTTGCCTCTATTGCCACTCCTAGGTCTGAATACCAGGATGAAAATTGCTGGGAGAGAAATTGAGCAAGGTGTGCTCCTTACCTAGACACTCTGTGGGTGCTCGTGACTCAGTAGAAAAAGCAGATCTGATGACAGTTAACCAGGTTTAAGGAAATACAGAACTACAGAGAACAAAGCCACACTTTGACATAGTAGAAATCTACTGCCTATCCTAAAGAGCATCCTTCACTGAGACTGAGAAGAGTTGTAAAGGTGACTATCATGATCTCTGACCAAGAGAGTGTTCCTTTGCCAGTTGCTCTGTGAAGGTCAGTCTTGCATTTTATGTGGGTTACAGCTGTTCTGTACTTGACCAACCAAATGGAAGTTTTAGAATTCTATAATGGTCAATGGCCTCTTTGATATCAGTCTACTACAGTTCTTAGCTAAACTTAACTTTTTCCTTCTTTGAGATGAGGTCTCATGTAGCCTTGGTTAGCTTTAAATGCACTATGTAGCTGAGGATGACTTTGAACTTTTGATCCTCCTTTCTCTATTATTTTGAGTGCTGGGATTGCAAGCATGTGTCACCATGTCTGGTTTTATGTGGTGCTGAGGATGGAACCTCAGGCATCCTGAATGCTAGACAGGCAGGATAGCAACTGAGCTACATCCCTAGCTGTAACTATTGATAATACATGCTCTTTGAAG